CGCAAAATCCGGTTCAGCCCGGTGGCACCGCCATCTAAGAACAGATGCCGCAAGCTCTGCTGAGCTCTTAGCGGTTGGCCGGGTCTACACCGTCGGGCTGGCTGTAAATAAAGGTTCCGTTTCCGAAATTCCCTGCTTCCGGGCCGCCGCGTCAACTTTGAGAAGCCAAGAAGCCGAGCTGAGGGAAGCGCAGCTTGTCTGGCAGGTCTCGGCCATGGTGTGGAGATTTCTGATAAGCTTGAAAAACCCTTCTCGGTATCCAATGCGTGCCCAAACCCGACTGCACAAGCCCTGCGGCATTTGACCTCTTCTGGCCATTTCTGACCCAAACCCCCACGTTTCCCGTCTACATCGTTTGGGTGCGGCGCGTACGCAAGCTGTCTCACGAGAAGCCGTCGTGATCGGAGTGGCGCCGATCATTAGAGGAGAACGGATTACCGTTGCGACCATCGGCAGTGACTTTTGTAGGATTGCTTGCGTTGCTATAAATACATCAAGCAGGCAGCTGCCACAGTCTCGTTATCTCATGCTCTAATAACTTCTGCAGAAAGTCTGAAGCTGCAAAGACGAAGGAAGGTGAGGCTACCAGGCGAGCCAAGGCACTCAGCACCTCTCAAAACAGCAGTGAAACAACAAACAACTTTGCGAAAGTTGTCTGGCCGGCCCATCAAGCGTACAAGTAACAGTTTCGTTTGTTCCTTTCTACACCCATCCCAGGGCCACGGTCTCGCCTTCACCTGCGTCAGCTTCGTGCGCCTCCTCAATGCCCGAGTCCTGCGAGACTCTCATGCTTCGCTGTCTCGCTCCGCAAGGGCAAGCCAGGCTTGCGGCTCCCTGTGGAACTTGGAGTTCCATCTCACATCTGATCTCGATGTAACAGCATGCACCTGTCGGAGCTGCAAGGGTGCCGCACTGATGACACAAATACCATCTCAGCAACACACACCAACGGGGATGGAATAGCATGCGATTCATGTGGTCAGGCTTCGGGGGAAAAACAATCAATGGTCTCAGGTTGTGGCGAGATAAACTCGTGGTGCAATCTGAAATCGCGAGGCCATTACCTAAACTGCATCTCCAAACCCGAATATGAACAACACCTTGCTACTGTCGTTTTCAAGATTTTCACACGCCCTTCATGGATGCAAATTGTGAAAGCAACAGGCAGAAGACACCACAAGCGGGATAGGGACAATACCACCAACAAGTTTGTGGCTTTGGAGTCATCCGAGTTTTTCTTCACCCTACGGGCCCCAGCCTAAGTAAGTTGATCATGTGGACTCCCTATACCAGGTATTCTCTTTTATCCTGTTTGTGTGAATTTCCGTGGTGCGCGGATTTTCACACACCTTTTGGACCACGGTCGAGGCTACAATGTTAGAGCAACTCCGCCTCTGTTCAGCCTGGCCCGAGCCAGGAGCCATCTAGCAAATACCGATCGGCACCCAGCTGCCCCTCCTTTTTTCCTAGCAAACGCCAGTCCGCGCCCAGTCGCACCTTACGAATCTGCACCAACTGGCATCACAACGCACTAAACCAGCCATCCCCCTGTGGACGCACGGTTTCAAGTGCCCGACATTGCCCGACCGACATGCACATCAGTGACACCACATGACATCATGACACGCCAAACCAGCCACCCTCCTGCAGACGCTCGATTCCACAAGCACCCACTCGAAACATACAGCAGTCATCATGACAGGCACCACAGCACACCAAACCAGCCATTCCCCCATGTACAGGCTCCATGGCACAAGCACCCGCTCGGGACGCATAGCAGTGATCATCACATGCATCCAAACCAGCCATTCCCCATGTAGACGGTTGTAGACGCACGATTCCACAAGCAACCCCTCAAGACACACATCCGTGACATCACGTAGTGTAATGTAACGCCAAACCAGCGAGTTTCAATACCAGTATTGGCTGTATAGGGGCTGCAGAAACGTAGGACTGCAGGGAATGGGATGCAGGAAAAGCGGGGGTGCACAGCGGCCTGTAGGAGACTGCAGGCTGCAAGGGCCGCAGGAATGTAGAACTGCAGGCTCTGCGGGCTGCCGGCCGAACCCACATCACCCTAACTTATTAATTTACTTCGTACTGCATCTTAGCACTGAAAAAGTGAAACCTGAAATCCCAGAACTTTGAGAACGAGTGGCCTACAATCACTCTTTGTATCTTGGGGGGGTGGGGTGTTATCAATTGAAATTGTTAAAGAGATTTCCCGAAAGCATCGCGAAGGGTTCTTCCGTGTGGAAGGCCGCAGCTGAGTACATAGATGACAGACATAGAATCAACTTACTTGACTCCGTACTTTACTCTACACTTGATACTTGACTCTACACTTGATACTTACTTACTTACTTGACCCCTATTTTGACTGACTCTCTACACTTGACACTTGACTCTATGATACTTGACTCTACACTTGATACTTGACTCTATGTTATGCTTACGACTTACTTACTTACTTACTTCAATCTACTTACTAACTTACTTGACACTTGACACTGGACTCTATGCTATCTCTATACTTACTTATACTTACTTATACTTACTTATACTTACTTATACTTACTTATACTTACTTATACTTACTTACTTGACTTGCTTAGTTACTTACTTACTTACCTACTTACTTACTTTTACTTACTTACTTACTTACTTATTACTTACTTACTTGACTCTATGCCTCTACTTACTTGACTCTATGCCTCTATGACTTACTCTCTACATCTCGGTATCTAATTCTCTCTTTTAAAGCCAGGGGGTGGCACCGTTGTCGTCCATCGGGAATGCAACCCTTCCCAGGGATTCGCCTCCTCGGGCGTTCAAACGCGAGGTAAAGTTACACATTTTAGGCGCGCGGGTGAACCCTTCCCATGGATTCGCTGCCTCGGGCGTTCAAACGCTAGGTAAAGTGACACATTTTAGGCGCACCGCGCAACCCTTCCCAGGGATTCGCTGCCTCGGGCGTTCAAACGCTAGGTAAAGTTACACATTTTAGGCGCCCGGCGCAACCTTTCACAGGGATTGGAACTCTCGGGCGTTCAAACGCGAGGTAAAGTTACACATTTTGCGGTTCCCGCGCAACCCTTCACAGGGATTCGCCTCCTCGGGCGTTGAAACGCGAGGTAAAGTTACACATTTTGCGGTTCCCGCGCAACCCTTCACAGGGATTCGCCTCCTCGGGTGTTCAAACGCGAGGTAAAGTTACACATTTTGCGCGCGCCGCGCAACCCTTCACAGGGTTTGGGCGCAGCTCAACTGCATTTTGCAACCCTTCACAGGGATTGGCATTTTGCAACCCTTCACAGGGATTGGCATGGTCGAGTGTTCGATCGCGAGGTAAAGTTGCATTTTTTGATGTGCATTGAGTTGAATTTTGCAACCCTTCACAGGGATTGGCGTGGTGGAGTGTTCGAACGCGAGGTAAAGTTGCAATTTGT